GGGTTGCAAAGTCCATCTTCGTCTGTTGATATGGGTCTGTCACTGAGGGGACCAGCTTCGCGGTTCTCGAAGCAGTCGAGGCTCGATTTCCACCTTTACCGTTGCATTAGGAGATTGAAGAGGTGGATAATGCAGCAAAGTGAAGTATGGAGGAAATATGAAATATAATGAGGTACTAATTAATGAAAAGAAATTAGGGTGAAAGACTAGTGGGTGTGGTATTTTTCGCGTTTATAAGTAGCTTTTCAGGACAACCTGTAGGTCATATATATCACATGCACTCACCTTATTTCTTTTAAGGTGGTACGGGAACGGGCACAATCATATAAGTAGACCTTTCGTTTCTATGGAATTGCTTTCCAGAAAGTTATTCTCATCCAGGCTGAAGTGGACTTCAGCTTCGACCTCGCCTGAAATGTTTTTATCACCACCTCTAGTGGGACTCGAACCATGGAAGGACAGCGTATATTCTCGATACACTAACCATTATGCTTGGGCCAAAGAGAAGGTATGAATTTCAGGGAAGGCCAGGAATTTTTCCACATAACATTTTGTTGTAGAATTGTCAATGAAGAAAAGTTGTATTTGCTATAGCAATCGACTAAATACATTTATATCATATATATGATATGCTGGTAGTCTCGAAAGCTTGCTTATAGACGAAAAAATAAGTAAGCTAGTCCATCGATATAGGAAATACAACTTTGCTTCATCGACACTTACATCACAGAATGTTATATTGAAAAATGCTCGATCTTCCACGAAATTCACATCTGCTCACTGACCCAAGGGGACTTTTGGAAATATGGCGTGGTTATTAACATACCCAGATTGTACCCTGCACTTTCATGGTTCGATTCCTTTTGGTGGTTCTCATAAGCCCAGTTTAGGGAGGGTCGAAACTTTAGTTCATTTCAGCCTGGATAAGAAGGAAAAACAGGGCTATGTGAAATTCAATTTAAACGTAAGTTCTACTGACATTATTGCGGTAGATTTCAACTAACAGTCTTTTTATTCTTCTAAAAGAAATAGGGTGACTACATCTCATATATTTGATCGACGGATATTCTCGAAACCCTAATAACACGCGAAAAACATCGTCATTATACCCCTTTCGAATGTCGATAAATGACATTACAAGCCCAATTTTAAACATACTCTTCTAAGAATGCGGACCACTCCAACAGGATCACTCACCCTGTTGACCCGAATAGATGCTATCTGGACCTGTAGGCATTGAAAAAACATGCCCATGTAAAGCTGAGAAGTTAATCAAACGGAAACTCCGGGGGTTGTTCACCGCAACATGGTTAGTGGACCATGTCAACGGTCCGTTTTCCCTCCCTCCCAGGTCGGTCCATCCCAATCCTGAATGTCACTTTCAGCAACTTTGCAAATCAAACTCATGTCTACTTCTTTCCAAGTTGGAATTCCACTAGTATTTTCATTTCGAAAAAAAAGATGCTTGGAAGGGTTGTGTAGCTTGACCCTGCCGGAAGTCGAGTGAGAATCACTTTAGAGCCTGGACTGTTGAAAGACGTTTATGTATCCTTGACCCACAACCCTGCTAACTCGTGACATACGTCCTGGACTTTATCTGTTTTGTTTTTACAGACAACCACAGAGCATAGAATTTCATTATGCCTTAAGACGAGCAATCCATGCTTACTTTATAAGACATCTTATGATTCGCTTGGCTACTTCATACTTTCCCTGTATAATAAGTGTGATTCATAGGAGGAAAACTATATCCTTAGCTAAAAAACTTGAAGTCTTGGCCATACGTTGCTACCTTGTGCAATTCGATTCGTTTACTTGTGTCCTATATGTATGCGATGAGCATGCTTCATGTGAACTGTCAGAGCCCCAACCAGGTTCAACAAGTTCCCTTCCTCGTAATCCGATTCGACAAACACAAGAAGTCCCAATTCACTCTCCTGGCTTTTTACTTCTATTCAAATTGTTAGATAATTTGTTTATTTCTTTGATGACCATAATGCTATGCTTTTATGGGAAGCCAGCTTAACTACACAACGCTTTGGGCAATTTACTTTGTTACCATGTCTTAAATGTATTTTAAGCCATTTCATTGTTTTTACCTAAAAGCTGACGATTTTTTGTTCAGATAACCTCTTCAGAAGAGGTCGGCACGTCTCCCAGCCATAGATCATGCCATATGAACACGAAACATTGTAACACTCTGATCTAAAATAAGATCTGAAAGTTATGAAGAAATCATTATTTAATAATTATTTTTTGTTTACAATCAAACTTTCGAGACTACTAGTAAATCAGTTATATGAGATTTATTCACCCTATTTCTTTTAAAGCGATGACAGATTGGTAGTTGAATTATCCCAAGATACTA